TATATATATATATATATATATATATATTTATCTTTATATTTATATATATATATATATATATATATATATATATATATATATATATATTTTTTTTTTATTTATATATATTTATTTATATTTATATATATATATATATATATATATATCACATATATATATATATATATATATATATATATATATAACGTTGTTTTGATAGCGTGATATTGTGATATGTTTTATTATTTGATATTTGTGTTTCTGTCAAAAACTGTTTTCTAGATGTTTGGTTACTTGCACAATTTGCTAAAGTGTTTCTGTAAAGTTTTGCTTTTGTATCGTCTTTTCAAGGATTCAAGCAGCTCTTCATCTTCATCATCTGACAGTGAGGATGACAAAAAGAAGAAGAAAAAGAAAAAGAAGAAGAAGAAGAAGAAGAAGAAGAAGAAGAAGAAGAAAGTAAAGGTGAGATTTATTCATGTTAATTGGTGAATGTGAAAGTTATAAAACTGCTTTTGTTATCAGTGGATTGTTTGTCTTAAATATTTTCTTTGTTTTTCTTAATGTTTTGTTTAATCATTATTTTATATTAGTTCTTAATTGAATGGTTTTTCAGTTAGTCAGATTTATTGATTTCATTCATTCATTAGTTGGTTCATTCATTCATTCACTGATATATAAATAGATTGTTGCATTCATTAATATACTGATTGATTCATTCATTCTTTTATTCATTTATTGGTTCATTGATTGGTTTATTGACTGATTCACTGATTGATTGATTGATTGATTGGTTCATTGATTGATTCATTTAAATATTGGTTGATTCATTGTTTTATTGATCGATTCATTTTTTCACTAATTTATTGATTGATTCATTGGTTTATTTATTGATTTATTGATTCATTAAATAATTTATACATTCATTCATAAGTTTGATTAGTTGTTTCATTACTGAATTGATTAATTCATAATTCACCCATTGCTTCATTAATTTATCAATTGGTTCATTGATTGATATGTTGATTGATTCATTGGTTAATTGATTCATTCATTCACTGTTTTATTTATTGATTCATTGTTTCATTAATTGATTCATTGGTTCATTCATTTATTCATTGATTTTGATTGAGTCATTAGTTCATTCATTAATTGGTTCATTGATTTATTGATTGGATCATTGATTGATTCGTTGATTGATTTAATTCATTGATTGATTCATTGGCTCATTAGTTGAAATATAAATTGATTTATTGTTGCATTCATTGACTCATTGGTGCATTTATTCCTTAATTCATTGATATATGATATATGGATTGATTTATTGGTTAAGTCATTGATATATTGAATGATTGATTGATTGTTTGTTTCATATATATATATATATATATATATATATATATATATATATATATAAATATAAAGTTCCACAAATTATTTCATATAGATTTAGTCAACGTTAGAAAAAGGTCTCCTGTAAAGTTTTCTTTTGTATTGTTGTTTCAAGGATTCATCATCGAGTAGCTCTTCATCATCATCTGACAGTGAGGATGACAAGAAAAAGAAGAAGAAGAAGAAAAAGAAGAAGAAGAAGCAGCTGAAGGTGAGAGTAATGTCTGCACATTCACTATGGTTTCAGAGATGTACGTGAACCAGTGTAGCCAGAGTCATTGTTTTCCCACACAGCTGCTGAAATTGTTCAAATGCGCCAAATCTTTCCTGCAAATACCAACTGAATATCCAATCATTTCTTATTGGACATTTGACCTTGGAATGTATACCTGGCAACCCAAAAATGGTTGTTGGAAAAGTACCAAGAAGTGTTGTTTGGTGTGTGGAATGCCAGTCAGTACTTTAACACATATACTGTATGTACAAGTATGAGTATTACCAAACAAATCTGAGTACATATGTATAACATTTCCCCCTTGTTGCAATCCAGGAATTGACTTTGATTGGACACAAAAAAAAACCGTGGCCAATTTTCATTTATTTTGGGTGGGTTAAAATCATTGCTGGACAGTTTACTTGGATCTGGCAACCCTGATACGAACACACTCACTGAATGCTGTTCTGTTGCTTTTTGTTGGTTGGTTAGTTTGTTCATTGGTTCATTAATTGGTTCATTAATTATTGATTCATTTTATTAATTATTTTTTAATATATTGATGGGTTGATTTATTCATTCATTCATTTATTCGTCAATTGATTCATTTATTAATTTAATGAAATATTGATTGATTCATTCAATGATTCATTTATTGGTATATTGATTGATTTATTAATTAATTCAATAATTAGTCCATTAATTGATTGGTTGATTGATTGATTCATTCATTGATGGATTAATTTACTGATTTATTTATTCATTGGTTTGATTCATTAATTCACTGGTTGATTCATTTACTAATTTGCTGGTTCGTTCATTGATATTTAATGATATCTTGATTTATTCATTCATTTATTCATTCATTAAAGTATTGATTGATTTATTCATTCACTCATATATGAAGTTACACAAAATATTTCATATAGATTCCGTCAACGTTAGAAAAGGTCTCCTGTAAAGTTTCCTTTGTATTGTTGTTTCAAGGATCCAATCATTTCTTATTGGACATTTGACCTTGGAATGTATACCTGGCAACCCTAAAACGGTTGCTAGAAAAGTACTCAGAAGTGTTGTTTGGTGTGTGGAATGCCAGTCAGTACTTTAACACATATACTGTATCTACACTTATGAGTATGACCAAACAAATCCGAGTACATCTCTATAACATTTCCCCTTTGTTGGAATCCAGGAATTGACTTTGATTGAAAACAAAAAAAAAAAAAAAAAAAACGTGGCCAATTTTCATTTATTTTGGGTGGGTTAAAATCATTGCTGGGCAGTTAACTTGGATCTGGCAACCCTGATGTAAACACACTCACTGAATTCTGTTCTGTTGCTTTCTGTTGGTTTATTGGTTCATTAATTATTGATTCATTTAATTAATTATTCATTAATATATCGATGGTTTGATTTATTCATTAATTCGTCAATTGATTCATTTATTAATTTATTGAAATATTAATTAATTCATTCATTGATTCATTTATTGGTATATTGCTTGATTTATCCATTCATTCATTGAAATATTGATTGATTCATTCATTGATGGATTAATTTACTGGTTTATTTATTCATTGGTTTGATTCATTAATTAATTCACTGGTTGATTCATTTACTAATTTACTGGTTCGTTCATTGATATTTAATGATATCTTGATTTATTCATTCATTGAAATATTGATTGATTTATTTATTCACTCATATATGAAGTTGCACAAATTATTTCATATAGATTCCGTCAACGTTAGAAAAAGGTCTCCTGTAAAGTTTTCTTTTGTATTGTTGTTTCAAGGATTCATCATCGAGTAGCTCTTCATCATCATCTGACAGTGAGGATGACAAGAAGAAGAAGAAGAAGAAGAAAAAGAAGAAGAAGAAGCAGCTGAAGGTGAGTAATGTCCGCACATTCACTATGGTTTCAGAGATGTACGTGAACCAGTGTAGCCAGAGTCATTGTTTTCCCACACAGCTGCTGAAATTGTTCAAATGCACCAAATCTTTCCTGCAAATACCAACTGGATATCCAATCATTTCTTATTGGACATTTGACCTTGGAATGTATACCTGGCAACCCAAAAACGGTTGCTAGAAAAGTACCAAGAAGTGTTGTTTGGTGTGTGGAATGCCAGTCAGTACTTTAACACATATACTGTATGTACAAGTATGAGTATTACCAAACAAATCTGAGTACATCTGTATAACATTTCCCCCTGTATAACAAATCCAGTAATTGACTTTGATTGGACACGAAAAAAAAAATGTGGCCAATTTTCATTCTTTTTGGGTGGGTTAAAATCATTGCTGGACAGTTTACTTGGATCTGGCAACCCTGATACTAACACACTCATTGAATGCTGTTCTGTTGCTTTTTGTTGGTTGGTTAGTTTGTTCATTGGTTCATTAATTATTGATTCATTTTATTAATTATTCTTTAATATATTGATGGGTTGATTTATTAATTCATTCATAATTCGTCAATTGATTCATTTATTAATTTATTAAAATATTGATTGATTCATTCAATGATTCATTTATTGGTATATTGATTGATTTATTAATTCATTCATTAATTAGTCCATTAATTTATTGGTTGATTGATTTATTCATTGAAATATTGATTCATTCATTCATTGATGGATTAATTTACTGGTTTATTTATTCATTGGTTTTATTGATTCATTGATTCATTCATTAATTAATTCACTGGTTGATTCATTTACTAATTTACTGGTTCGTTCATTGATATTTAATGATATCTTGATTTATTCATTAATTTATTCATTCATTGAAGTATTGATTGATTTATTCATTCACTCATATATGAAGTTACACAAATTATTTCATATAGATTCCGTCAACGTTAGATAAAGGTCTCCTGTAAAGTTTTCTTTTGTATTGTTGTTTCAAGGATTCATCATCGAGTAGCTCTTCATCATCATCTGACAGTGAGCATGACAAGAAAAAGAAGAAGAAGAAGAAGAAGAAGAAAAAGAAGAAGAAGAAGCAGCTGAAGGTGAGAGTAATGTCCGCACATTCACTATGGTTTCAGAGATGTACGTGAACCAGTGTAGCCAGAGTCATTGTTTTCCCACACAGCTGCTGAAATTGTTCAAACGCGCCAAATCTTTCTTGCAAATACCAACTGGATATCCAATCGTTTCTTATTGGACATTTGACCTTGGAATGTATACCTGGCAACCCAAAAACGGTTGTTGGAAAAGTACCAAGAAGTGTTGTTTGGTGTGTGGAATGCCAGTCAGTACTTTAACACATATACTGTATGTACAAGTATGAGTATTACCAAACAAATCTGAGTACATATGTATAACATTTCCCCCTTGTTGCAATCCAGGAATTGACTTTGATTGGACACAAAAAAAAAACCGTGGCCAATTTTCATTTATTTTGGGTGGGTTAAAATCATTGCTGGACAGTTTACTTGGATCTGGCAACCCTGATGTAAACACACTCACGGAATTCTGTTCTGTTGCTTTAAGGATTCATCTTCATCATCCAGCAGCTCCTCTTCCTCTGACAGCAGCAATGAAGACAAGAAGAAGAAAAAGAAGAGGAAGAAGAAGAAGCAGCTGAAAAAGAAGGTAAACTGTAAAAGAGGCTCATAAATCACACAGCATTAAGAATTGTGAACATGTAAAAATGCAGATTGTTTAGGGGGAAGAGGGGGAAGGTGAAGAGCCGGTAGATCAAAACCCAACTTATTTGTGTGTGTGTGCGCATGTCTGTTTGTCAGGACTCAAACTCTTCATCATCATCTGATAGTGAAAAAGGGAAGAAGGACAAGAAAAAGAAGAAAGACAAGAAGAAGAAAAAAGACAAGAGAGAAAAGGTGATGTTTTGTTTCTGCGTTCAAGACTTTACATGTGAAGCTGCTCTTTCTGTTTACAACAGATGTTTCTGTTTAACATCTGATTAAAGGGATAGTTCACACAAAAATTCACTCATCTTTCCTCATCCTCCACCTGTTCCACCTGTTTGAGGTAATTCTGTTGAACACAATGAAAGACGTTTTGAAGAATGCTGAAAAAAAAAAAAACGTTGGCTTGCATATAATTTGTTTTGTTCCTACTATGGAAGTCAGTGGCTGTTATTTCCAACATTCTTCAGAATATCTTATTTTATGAAGAAAGAATATCGTAAATGTTTAGAACTAATTTGAGTAAATGATTATGTTTTTTATTTTGGGGTGAACTTTCCTTTTAAACTGCATTTAATGGATTGTAAAAGCAGTGAAATTCCCAAACACAAGCTCATTGTGAATAGGTACCCCTGTATACATTTCTGGAGAGTGTAAGTTGTGCAGCCAGAGGTATGTCTGGCCGCATTTTGTCTTTAAAACGAACGCTACAGGGCAGTATGACGCCGTCAATGGCTTCTGATTTCTTTTCGCGCTGCGAGATGACCACTTACCTCAATCCGGACGGCCTTTCCGCTGCTGCCAGTTTGTCCAGGTCTCAAAGTGTACGTTGGCGGAATTGAAAAGCAAAGAGGAGTTAACCGCGATGACAGTGTTCGAGTCCGGCAAAAGAGCAGTTCCAGAAAGCAGGTTAAACAAAATTCAAAATACAAAAAATAAATAAATAAAATAAACAAGCGAATAACAGGGTGAGAACATGGTAAAATCTGAAAACATGATAAAAATCAGGCGGCTGTGAGGGCTTTTCTTTTTCTGGATTGCTTTTGAAAACATTATCGGTTGGGTATACGGAAGGGGTTGATTGGTTCAATCTGTACTTTTAAAAACACTATCGGTTGGGTTTAGGGAAGGGGGTGATTGGATCAATCGGTGCATTTTGATAACACTATCAGTTGGGTATAGGGAAGAAGTGATTGGGTAAATCTGTACTTTTAAAAACACTATCGGTTGGATTTAGGGTATGGGTGATCGGGTCAATCGGTGCTTTTAAAAACACTATTGGTTGGGTTTAGGGAATGGGTGATTGGGTCAATCTGTGCTTTTAAAAACACTATTGGTTGGGTTTAGGGAAGGGGGTGATTGGGTCAATCTGTGCTTTTAAAAACACTATTGGTTGGGTTTAGGGAAGGGGGTGATTGGGTCAATCGGTACTTTTTAAAAACACTATCGGTTGGGTTTAAGGAAAGGGGGTGAGTGGGGAATCGGTCAGTCAGTCAGTCGACAGTGGCCTCTGGTGAATTTACGTGAGAACAGCAGGCACAAATGGCAATCGCGAGAGATATTTGAGATCTAAAAAAACGTACACAGCGGCCTCTGGTGGATTCAAGTAAACTAAAACTGCAAAAAAACATACCTCCTTACACGTATTTCGCGCTCTCCAGAAATGTATACAGAGGTACGTATCAATAATTAGCCTGGGTTGAAATTTCCACTTCTACCTGTCCTATACGGTTGGAGTATTTCGAATTGATCATTTACCTGTCAATTTATATTTTTGTAAATAAATTTATCTTTTACTAGGCAGAGATTAAACGCAATCACATCCAAAATAAAAGTTTGTTTTGACATTGGATATGTTTTATTATGTATTATATATTTATGGGTGTTTCGCTGAGATGGGTTGCGACTGGAAGGGCATCCGCTATGTTAAACATGTGCTGCATAAGTTGGCGGTTCATTCCGCTGTAGCATCCCCGGATTATTAAAGGGCCTTAGCCGAAAAGAAAGTGAATGAAATATGCACAATACACACTAGGGTTGGGCATCTAAGCTATAATGCCAATCCGATATGCATCTCGATACAAAGAATACGCTCCGATATATTAGCGATACATTTGTGACATATTGCGATGCAACACGATACGATTTACACCCATATCACGATACAATGCGATAATTCAGCACTAACTTATTAGATCAAGTGTATGAGATTATGTAAAAGAGGATGCTGTGCCATTGAATGAGTTTGATTATTTATTAACCAAATAAAACCAAGACTTTTTTTTACAAACTGGCTTTTCTCTCAGAGCCAGAGTGTCAGTTTACAGTAGAGGGCCATTTTAGAACATATAGCACATATTATTTAAGCATTTTCAAGATAAACAAAATGTATAAGTGCAATAAATATTAAAAATACATATATTTGCACTCTTTCAACATAAAGGTTTAGCATTGCACAACAAGAATTGTGATTTAACTTTTCAACTATGAAAACAAGTTTTACAAAGATATTTTGCCACTGATTATTCAAAACTTAAGGTGGTGAACTAGCAGTGTTATGCTGCTTTGAAACATCACTGTCACTGTAAACAACAGGCTAATAAAAATATAAATAAATACAAATTAACAGGAGGAGGTGTTTAAAACCTTCGTTCTCCGTGACACTAGGCTGAATATCTTTGCAGATGAACAATGCAGTAACATCCGTTGGTGTAGAGCGCACAAAACTGTTGCGCATGGAGAAAACTTTCAATGCTTTTCTCACCACTTTTGGAGCTGGTAGCTACAGTTGAAGCAGAGCAGGAAGCCGGGGATGCAGGAACACTGGAAGATGCTTCCACAACAACACCGTGGCGCCGCTTCTAGTGAGATTTCAGATTAGTCGTACTGCCCGCGTATTTTACAGATGCGCGGCACATTTTGCAAATTGCATCTGTCCTGTCATGCCGTCCATCCTTAAATCCATAATGTTGCCATACTTTAGATTTAAAACTCAGTGGGGAATAAAATGTTTGTTTTGCTTCTCGCGCTTTCTGAGGGCGCTCCACTAGCTTCATCCGCACACCTGATACACTGAGTTGTAGTGTAAGTGTGCACATCCGCAAGTCCGTTGCTAAGGCTTACTTTATGTAGGTCGATTAAATTATGCGCCAAAAACAGGTTGACAACACTTGTTAATAAATAAAAAATACATTCTATATTAAAAATATAAGCTGTATTTCGGAAAAACCGATGCATCTCGCAAAAACCGATGCATCTCGATTTGCTTCCAAAATTTCATTCATCCTCTGCTGCTCTACCGATGCACTCGCAACGTGCACGCGCATGACCGCGTATCGATACATATCGGTTAATCTTCCCATCCCTAATACACACACATATCTTATTTCAAAACAAACTTTCAATTTCATTCATTCATTAATTTTCTTGTCGGCTTAGTCCCTTAAGTCTCTGGGAAACATCCACACACACACTCATACACTACAAACAATTTAGCCTACCCAGTTTACCTGTACTTGTAATTGTGGGGGAAATCGGAGCACCCGTAGGAAACCCACACGAATGCAGGGAGAACATGCAAACTCCACACAGAAACGCTAACTGAGCCGAGGTTCGAACCAGCGACCTTCTTGCTGTGAGGCAACAGCACTACCTACTGCGCCACTGCTTCACCAACTTTTATTTTGTATAGGACTAAATCTTTGCCCAGCACTAATTTTTTCATATATTTAGCGTTTGTCTATTTATTTTAAATGCTCCTCGTCTTTCTTCTATCCAGAGTCCCAGTTCTGGATCTGACAGTGGAGGAAAGAAAAAGAAGGACAAAAAAAAGGTGACACCTAATTTCTCATCTTCATGTAGATTTGTAATTAGGTAAAGTGATCTTGTTTTTCTTTTTGACAATATTATTTTGTCTACCCCATTGGCAGAGCATTTTGCTTCTTTAATAAAAAGCTCACTGCATTTTGGCATATTATTTCTTTAAATCAAGACGATATGTTTTGCTTGTCTATTAAATGCTTATCAATTTAAGAATGTTTAGGTATTTGGACTAAAAATCTTGCCATAACAGTTGAAATAAACCTCTTGTATTACTCCACAGCAGAAGCAGAAAGCAGAAACAGATGCTGATGGGGCTAATCTAGAGGATAAAGGAGAATCTGGTGGTTTGGGTACACTCAGAGATGACAGCAGTGGCATTCAGATTTCTTCATCTCTTCATTCAACCTTCTCTCCGTCTGAAGCACTGAGCACAACGGAGAACAGCAGCGCCACCAACAGGCTACGGTTTTAGAGAGTCTAATGGGAAAATAGACCTCGCATGACATCCACACACACCGTCTCACCCATATGAAACACAGAAAAGTGCCGTGCCTGTACCATGTTGTTTAGTGTTGGTGTTTTATCTTTGTCATGATGATAGCAAATCATTTTTGACTTAGGATACTAGTATTCAGCTCAAGGGACGTTTAAATGCTTAACTGGGTTAATCAGGGTAAAGTTAGGGTGATTGGGTAAATCAATGTATAACAGTGGTTTGTTCTTGGGACTATCCAAAACTAATATTGCTTAAGGGGGCTAATAATATTGACCTTAAAATTGCTTTGAAACACTTAAACACTGCTTTTATTCTAGCCGAAATTAAACAAATAAGACTTTCTCTAGAAGATGTGATAGAAACAAAACTATGCAAAACAAGTCTTACATGGATAAATTAATTTCTATGTAGTGTGTGTTACATATTTTATATCTAAATATAAACAAACATTTTCTGAAATATGCATGCATGTGTGTATTTTTATATACATAATAAATATATATAGGATACACACAAATCAGGATTGATTTTTTTTTTTTTAAACGCTAATATACACATGAGAATAAATGTGGTCATTTTAACTTTTTCAGGCCTTCTGCTCTCAATTATTCACGGTTGTTATTAACACTGCTTGATGTTGCAAATTGGGTTTTTTTTTAATTCTATTATTTTTATTTTAATGTATTATTGTCATTTACATTCGGTCATTTAGTAGATGCTTTGAATTATATTCAGTGATCCTGCATGAAGAGGAAACGCAAACATGAAGTGTTACTTCTATAAGGGAACTGTATGTTCATTAACAAACACAAACTGGTTTATAGAGCAAGTAGTTTGACTGTTCACTACCCAAACAACTTGTATGAATGTTAAAGTTACAAGCTAAATGTAGTCTTTAAGCAAACTCAACTGAATGGCCACTTTATTAGGTACACCTTACTAGTACTGGGTTGGACCCCTTTTGCCGTCAGAACTGCTTTAATCCTACATGGCAGAGATTCAAAGTAGTGCTGGAAATATTCCTCAGAGGTTTTGCTCCATATTGTCATGATAGCATCACACAGTTGCTGCAGATTTGTCGGCTGCACATCCATGATGCCAATCTCCCGTTCCACCACATCCCAAAGCTGCTCTATTGGATTGAGATCTGGTGACTGTGGAGGCCATTTGGGTACAGTGAACTCATCGTCATGTTCAAGAAAGCAGTCTAAGATGATTGAGCCTTATGACATGTGTGTTAAAATAGACTTTATTTCAGCATTTTTCTAGTTGGCTTATTTAACAATTAAACATTTGGCAGACACTCTTTGAATTGTAGTGCATTAATTTTATACACTTAGTATTTTGACAGAGCAGATCACATGAGTGAATGACCCTGAAACAACTGAAGGTCATGTATAATGTTCATGGAATACACTTTTAACTTCAAACCATAACAACTCAGAAAACCAGTTCTGCTCTCTGTGGTCTGTAATGAGTCACAGGTGAAGAATTATCAGAGAAGCAGCAGCTTAAAAAAAAAAATACGGCTCATCTATTTAGTGTTTACTAAAGCACTGTAGTGAAGCAGGACTCGTGATGAGACACACCCGACACTGACGTCAGCAATGCAGAGATGCTTTAAACTGGTTCTGCTGGAGAATATTTGTCCAACACTATTTGTGCCAAAGGCGTATTTACTGTTTGACAGTTTTCTCTGAATAAAAGATTAAACAAAATTTCTCAAAAGCCATTTTTTTTTTTTAAAGGGATGCAAATAATTTATTAATGTCCGCTGCTTTTGTGCCCTGAGCACCTCGCGATTTTGCCATTGTGCACAGTTGAAAAAGTCCGCTCTAAGCAGAAAAGTGGCGTCTTTGTCATTCTCCAATTAAATGACAGCAGAGGCGGGGTTTCCATTGAGGTGACAGCAGTGTTTGTGTTGTCAAAACAACTACAAAGACTTTTAAAGATGGAGGAGAGACTAGCAGTTGCTGTTTCAAGGTAGCCGGAGATGTATGACTTCACAAATCGCGAATATCAGAAAATTTCCGAAAAGATTCAAAAAAGCGAGGACGTTACAGAATTTTCCCGGAAAACACTGTTCACACATCCATTCCAAAATATTGGTAAATCCTGACATCATTAAACTGGAAATACGCTCTACTCAGCGTCTATACAACCTGTATTTGTAAATACTTGACTATATTACAAACTCTGTGGATGGATAAGTATTGTGAACTGTAACATCCTCAGCTTGTTCCTGCTCACCCAATCAACATTCTCCCTCAAAAACCACCTCCATCCAATCCCGTGAACCCTCACCAGACTTCCAATAACTTGCACCTGTTCCCCATCACCAAAGGAACCTATAAAGACCCACCTTCTCCCTTCACTCTCTGGCCGGTATTGAAGTCAGATGGTTGTCTTCATCTTTGCTCCTTCATCTTCTCTCCTCACTCCCTGGATGTTCCTTATGAGTCTTCGAGTCCTTCATACTGATCAAGGGAAGTGATGATTCTTATCTGATGTTTACTAGAAGGTCTGTTTTCACTCTGATGAACTGTGTGCTTGAATACTCACCAATAGATGATCACTCCTTGAAGATCTAGAGGAATGCTTACACTTGTCTGGTGTTTACCGGAAGATCCACTATCTACAAGATGACCTGCATGTCTGTGTACTCGCCTGCTGTGTCTACTGAGAGCAAACTTCTTCTTCTAGTCGCTTTGTTTTGAATAAACTTAAGAAAGTATTCCTTGTCTACCAGCGTGACATGAACAACATATGGAGGAACGCTTTCACATGTCAAGATGTGTATATAATAATCCCTTTCACACAGTGAAACCGGAAAATGTCGAGAATGACTTTACTGGTGTGGCCGGGATACTGCTCTTCCTAATTAAATAAATCAAGCATCCCCAGTCATCTATAGTCAAACGGTTCTTTAATTGTGACCACGTTTAAATAGAAAAATGTGGCATTAAAGTTGCAGATTTCCAACAGTGGGCAAAAACAAGAAATGTAACATGTTCTGTGGACAATAATGAATTACAATATTTACAATAAGTTAGCTCAGACCAAACAATGTTTCAAAATGACTATTTAAAGATCTCCTCCTTTCAATTGACGCTAATAATGTCCACACATGTAAGTAAATAAAACAAAGTGATTTTGCTTATGTCACTGATAAGGACTAATAGCTCTAAATAAACAACGATAGTAGCTTATGTATTCCTGCACAAAACAAAAGCATAAAAAATTTTAAGCACACAAGATAAACCAAATACACTTCCATGTCAAATAAACACATGTAAATTTCCCCTTTCAAATGTATAACATCAGTATCAACATTCTAATATTAAAGAGTAAATGGTTGCAGAACGTTAATTAGCACTGGTAGTAAGAACAAAATAACACCCTGCTCATTTACATTTCTCTGAATGAGCATAAAGTATTGTTCAAGACATATAAATCAATAAAACTCACTCACTGTTAAATGTTGAACCGCACTCTGAATGATCCACAAAGCCTCCGATCACGTGCGCACTCGCGTGTACTCGCTCTCCCCTCTGATATAATTAGGCCCAAAAATAAAGAGAGGTACAATAAACGATCACCTCACGTTTACTCAAATAATATACTAACATACGGTCATTAACCAGTAAATGAACAGCATCAATAACTACTCGCGCTCAATCTTCGTTGCTGGAGATTACAGTCTCACCACGTGAATATTTCTGCACCCGAAAGCATGCAAAATCCAACCGATCACCAGTCAAACATGAAGAGAAACAACTGCTCTCGAAACTGCAGCGAGGACTTCCTCTTTTTCCTCTAAATGAAACTGTTACAGTATCTATCTTGCAGGCTCAAAAGACAAAAGATTACCGAAGCTAAACTCTCAGGAGGGCACTTCTTCTCCTTTCACAACGACTCTGTATAAACGCACCAATCAGCCTCTAGTGTAGGGAGGCGTCATTACCCTGCTAAAAAAAACAGCTTAAACCAGCCTAGGCTGGTTTAAGCTGGATTTTTCTGCAGGGTACCAGCTGTTTTTCACTTGGCTACACTGGTTAGTTCATAAAAAAGATGTTCACACAGGCGAAGACGTTCTGTAACTTTTCTGGAAAACGCCGTTCACACATCCATGCCAAAAAAGCGGTAAATTCTGACATCATTAACCAGAAATGAGCTCTAAATAGCAGTGCCTGTATTTGTAAACATAATCACCTGTTTCTAATGCTGTGTTCACACCAGATGTTACTCGCTTGATTCGCGCATCAAACCCCGCTTCATTCACGTGTCAAATTCACTTCAGAACAGACATGGAATCACCTGATGGGCAGGGCTTCTGTCTGCTTAGTGACTTTAGCTTTGTTGCTAAAAGGCTAACATGGATTTTATGAAGAAAATAACAGTGTTTACGTGCTTTATGAAGACTGAAAAACAGCATCGATACGTTTAGGGCCGTGTCTGAGTCCACTACATCCTTTCAGAGGTGCATCCAGCTCTTTAAGCTCATAAACTCCTCCAGAAACTGAGCCTGGATGACGGAGGCTTTCAGCGGTGCTTCTGACTGAGCCAAGCCGAGTTTGATGAACTTCTTGTTGGTGTCGGCTGGAGGATTTCCCCTGGGACACCGACAACAGGCGATTCGCACAATCACGCCCCCACAAGAGCAAGCTCTTGAATGGTTAACGCGATGCGAGTGTCCGCTAAAGTTCAGATTTTCGAACTCGAGTGACACGCGCGTCAAATGCGTCAAACACGCAAAACGCTCAATTCGTGTTGCGCTATTCGCACCGCTCAATTCTCATCATTTGCGCCGCAGGATGTCTATTCGCGCGTTTGCATTGACTTAACATGTAAATCACTCACGCTTGATACGCGTTCCGTGTCTGGTGTGAACGCAGCATAAATGGTCTGTCTGTGAAAGTGAGGGGACGTTTATCATAAGCATTTTATGGATCATTTTTTTTACACAGTTGGCATTAAGAAGGAACATATAAATGTTATCAGACTAACATCTAGCAGCTTAATGTGTCTGGAAAAATATTCAAAGGCTTTTATTCTTATAAACAAAGCGGACGGTAAAGCGTCTGAATGTTCTGATTGGCTAAAGTAGACATCTCACGTCAGCACGTTCTAAGCGTGAACAAGCTCTTCCTAGCAATCTTCGGTCTGTGTTTATGTAACGGAGGCCGACTAGTAAGTGCTGTGCAGGTAAACCTCTAAAGGTGCTCTGGCGACAGATGCTAGAGGCTATGGTTTTTAGCTTCCTTGTTAGAGCTACCGACTCCCATGCGGAAGGTCGCCGGTTCGATACTAGCTCGGAGTGGGTTGGGTGGCGTAGGACTGGCGGGGTTACATTTACACAGAGCTGCATTCCGGCAAAGTACCGAATTTATCTGTATTTTCAAAAAGAGTCTGTTCACTCATACAGACCTTTCTGGAAAAATGCTGGTAACTTTCCGGAAAGGACTGTATGTGTGAAAGGGGCCAATATCAACATCAGCGCTCGTGCACAATAGGCAGCTGATTCAGCCGAGTGACATTAAAAGCACAGCACACTTCTTCAACAAAAAAGGCATCCGATCTTAGAACGGAAAAGCTCTTCCGGTGTGATTGGCCACTAACCCCACTTGACACCAACTCACCTGCTCCAAGTGAGAGAGAAATAGAGGGGGACTGATGGGGGTCCCCCTCAGGGGCATCTCAGACTGGGCCATCCTGGCTCTTTCGAGATTGGATTATCTCTTAGATGCAATCTGGCTTTTGGTAAACGTGTAATTTCAAATCAAAATCAAATTGTCATTTGACACTTTATTTTGATGGTGTGTCTGTTGAATTTAGGTTACATTGCATCTCAATAGTATCTGTATGCAGCCTTTATGATGCAAGCTGAGACTGCATCACTCAGCGATACAATGTCAGACTCATTGGAGTGAGTGACGTCACTGTGACGGGTAGGGTTGGGTGAGCGCATTAAAAAGCATTGGATACAGCTCAGATTGCACTGCACCGAGTCTGCAGCCAGACCCCTCTCTTGCATCTACATGCCAGCTTATTCTCATTAGATTATAAGTAGACCATTAGGTTGGAGTTGGGTTGGGGTTAGGCAGTGCTTAATTTGTGAATTGCGATGTCCTGGAACAGATCGAGGTAACGGATCTGGCATGCTACCTGAGGATGTAGGGATTGGTTGGTTGCGGACGAAAGAGAAGAAGGTTGGGGACTCGTGGAACAAAGTGAAAGTGAACAGCGGACGAGGGATGGGGATTTGTAAAATGAGGTGCAGGATCAGATTTCAGAGGTTCCAGATCCGGCATGTTCTGGCACAAATTAAGCCCTGGGATTAGGGTTAGTGTAAGTTGACATGTACTTGCAAAGTTTCTTCTAGTCAGTTAAATGTTTACTGAAGGAGCAGTATCAGCAAAATATTAAGTCTACTACCCAAAATGGACCATCAAAATTAAGGGTTACTTGGATTTTTGGCCAGACATAATGACCCATATGTGGGATTTGTGCTCTGAATTTAACCCACACACATCAGTGAACATACACCTGGAGCAGTGCCTTGCTCAAGGGACTCGCCTCACTTCAGTATTGAGGGAGGTGAAAGCACTGGTTATTAACTCAAACTACTGACAATCCCTGCCGAAGCTGGGATTCAGACCTGAGACCAACTCTCTAACCTTCAGGCCATGGCTGCCCCCTATTATTCTGAAGACCTCCTATGGAGTGGGACTTCAGAGAAGAGGCTGCCCTGGAGTGAAGGTGGTGTGAGCAAAAAGAGAGAGGGGGGCTGGTGGACCCTCTCTATGGAGCTCTGCAAGAGGGACTTGGCAAGAGAGGTGGGACAATCAAATCTAAATTTCCAAGACGCATGTACGGGAAACAAGTAAATGTTTAAATGAATGAAAAATAGGAAATTCAATAAACATTTTATGCAAAAAAAAAAAAAAAAGCTTAGGTCTATTATTTTATTATTATAATAAAAGCTCGTAGCCAAGGGGGGTTCGGGTGGTTCAGAAGACCCATCCTCACCAACAAAGGTACAGAATTTGTCCCAAACATGAGCTCATTTGTCTTACTTTGACTGCTATGCCATCCTAAATCATGAATATAACCCATCGAAAAAAGGCTTTAAGGCCAAGCAAAATGCACTGTTGGCTGTTACCTCTGTGTGACTTCAATTTTGACCAATGCAAAAAAATATTTTCATTACAAAATGAGGTAAGAACAGATATCTTTCACTTCTGCATTGTTTGTTTAATAATTATTTTTTCAGATTTTTCACCCTTAATGTATAGGACAGTATAGAGCAGGGGTCCCTGCAGCGTTTAGCTCCAACTTGCCTCAACACACCTGCCTGGGTGTTTCAAGTATACCTAGTAACACCTTGATTAGCTTGTTCAGGTGTATTTGATTAGGGTGGGGCTAAAATCAGCAGGACACCGGCCCTCCAGGAACAAGTTTGGTGATCGCTGGTACAGAGTATTGACAGGAGACTGTGGGGAACAGAGAAGGGAAGGATCAGCATAAATCAAACTCGGGTCACTGTGAGTGTCGAATGTGTCGACGCACTAACCACTACACCACTGGTGTTGATGCTACTGCATTGTTTTTAAACAGAGGAAACATTTTTCGTCTAACTTTTATGCTAAATCTTGGGGCTTATTCCTGAAACTAAAAATTTGCAATAAACAGTGTAAAGAACCAAAAGCGGACCAAATATTGAAATTGATTTGAATACTATTTTGGCCACTGTTGTTATTTATGAATTTTCAAATGAAGTTTTGCTACATTTTTAAATCGTAAAGCTCATTACATCTACATTATTATTGTTATTATTATGTTTTAATTGTTTTTTTTTTTTAATTCAAATGGTTAATATAAAGTTGAATGTGCTGGTCAATTGTTATTTGTCTAATAAATGACAATGCACTAGTTTTCAGTAGAAAACTTTTCAAGATTCCATTTATAATGATAGTTAATGTAATAAATATAGATTTTTACAAATAAGTTTTGTTTCACATTTCTTTATTATAAATCTTTAGGAAATAATTTTAAGTGTGGTTATGATGACCCTCTGAAAGGCTAAAAATAGAGCTTAAAATGTCATTAAAATACAATATTTAAACCTCATTATTAAATAAAAAAGGAGGTTCATTATTGCAGGCTGGCTAATGGCCGGTAATATGCAATGGAATAGTAATATTTCCTCCAATGCAGTGTTTTTTTTTTTACCACCCCCTTTTTTCCACCACGCCCCTTCTAGGGCTCTGTAACTCTAGCATAGTGACTATGCAAAATGTTAAATATTTAAATAAGAAACCCACCTTCAGCATACCCCTCATAAAACATTTATACAATGGGTGTATTTAACAATCAAGCATTTGGCACATACTTTTAACCACAGTGATTTACAGTGAATTCAATTTCTACATAGTATTTTGACACACACATTTTGATGAGGCGCACCCGACACAGACGTCAAGAAACCAGAGAAACCGGTTCTGCGAGGTATAATCCTGTTCGTGCCACAGCACTGTTTGTGTTCTCTGTCATCCCTCTAATACAAACATGGAACAAGCACTGCTCATTTACTCAAGCCCCGCCCACACATTATGCAAAGCCACAACCACCGGCCCCGGATGTGAATAAATACTGCTGTCACACTAGAGATCGCATCACACAAACACCTTCATCATGAATCTGGCCAAAGGTAAGCGCTGCTTGCTTATTCTAATGGTTAATATATTTATTCGTGAAGCTAATAGTTTGTTTTCATCAGCTCTTGTAGAGGAAGTGGTGAAGCAGGAAGTGAGGCACGACGTGGAGGGCTCCTTTGGGCATGGACACCACATGATGGTAAGAATATTGCATTCTCTAATACACGGGAAAATGACCTTGTGTCAAATAAACGTCAATATTTTAATCCCAGTCTTATTGTTCCTTCTGTGCTCTGCTGATGTTATACTAAATCTTTGTCGATTTCATGGAAAAGTTCAAATGAATGCAAAAATAAATCCTATTTGCATATGGTGCAGGGTTATTAAACGTCTTGTGAAATTAGCATAAAAATTAAATGTTCGTTTCAGTCTGTTAGATATTTGTATACTTTATTAGAGGATTTTGGTTTCATATTTTAAGAACTTTAACTCCCCTGCTACTACTTTTTTCTTATTTTCTCTATTTTTTGTTGTTGTATTTATGCATTTCGTATTATTATTATTATTATTATTAATGTGAAAAAAAATGTGAATGGAAATTGATTGTTATGCAAGCCTTTTGTGTAGTTTTAAAAGTATTTATTATTATTATTAATAATAATAATAATAAAAACCTTTATTGAAGCAGGTAAGTCAATTGAGATCCAGTTTTCATTTACAATGACGACCTGGCCAAGAGGCAGCACAAAAAGATTGATATGAAGCAGCAGGGACACAATAATAACAGTTTCACAAATGCAGATAATAACATGTATAAAACCAAGGAAAAACTAGAAACAAGCTCAGCGATCTTGTACTATTAACTGGATTGAATTTTTAAAGGATGATAATCAGTGGTGGAAAGAGCAGTGAAAAATCATACTTGAGTAAAAGTACCATTATTTGCATGAAATGTAGTGCAAGTAAAGTAAAAGTATCTGTTATGAATATTACTCCAAAGTATGAGTAAAAAGTAGCCCTTTCAAAAGTAGAGTTGCGAGTATTGAGTATTACGCTGTAAAAAGTTGAGGCATTTAATTTCTGAATATGTGTAAACGTCACATTCTGTAGTGTTTAGTGGTTGTTTAGCACAGGGGTTCCCAAACTTTTCAGCACACGACCCCTAAAATAACAATGCCAGTGACTCGCGAGCCCCAATATCCTCTGAGGTGGTTATAAATACAGAAAACTTGCATGCAAAGGCGCACACACACACACACCAATAGACCAAAGTCTATTCTTCGTTTAATTTTTTTATGTATGTCAGTGCTGTAAATGGGCCAGAAAGTTTAACCTGGTGTCATAAAATCAATCTGCTGCATCTGACGTTATTGCTGTCTTTAATATAATGTATTTACCCCAGGGGTCGCAATCCAATAGAACAAGTATATAAGCTACTATAATAACTATAAACGACTTTTTTTTTTCTCTTCAGTTGGTTATGGATAAAATATGGTAATTCTTATGGCCTAATATTAATAATAAGTAGATTTTTGGAAATCACCGGGCGACCCCCCCCCCCCCCCTTTATTGTGCCGCGACCCCTCAAGGGGTCCCGACCTTCACTTTGAGAACCACTGGTTTAGCAGGCACACAATGTCATAAGACGTTAATATTAGGTTAGATTTACAACCCTGGCTCATTCTGAAAACGTAGTTCCGTGGACATTACTGGAGACCACAAAATACGTCCCAGGAGGCACGTATTTTTGCAGTTTTTGTTTTCGCAAATCCACAAGAGGCCGCTGTGTGCACTTTTTTTGTATCTCTCGCGAGTGCCATTTACACCTGCGCTGTTCTTGCATAAACCCACCAGAGGCCGCTGTAGACCAACCGTCTGTCTGACTGACTGAATGATTGACTGGGCGACCGGCCAATTGGCTGACCCACCCTGCTCCTTCCCTAAACCCAACCAATTTCACCGATTGACCCGCCCACCCACTTTTTTCCCTAAATCCAACCAACAATTTACAAAAGCTGTCCAGAAAAAGAAAAGCCCTGGTCTGATGTTTACAAAGTTTACGATTTTACCACATCCTCACCCTGTTATTCACTTGTTCACTTTATTTTTTGGATTTTGTTTTTGTCTTACCTGAATTCTGGAACCGCTCTTCCCTGGACTCGAACCTGGTCATCATTGTCATGGTCAACTTCTTTCTGCGTCTCAAGTCTGCCAACGTACACGACGAGCTAACTGGACAAACTGGTTGCTGCTGGAAAGCCTTCCACAGAGTCAGCCGGTTAGCGCCAAAAGAAACGGTGTCATAGCGCCCCGTAGCGTTCGCTTAAAAAATGAAATGCAGCCATACGTACTTCCGACTACTTCGCAGTCTCCAGAAACATCCACGGGACTACGTTTTCAGAATGAACCTGTGTTGTAGATTTAGGTTGTGATGTCAGGTGACAAAAATTCAAAGTCTAGCCAGCATCTAAGGACAACGTTATTTTGATTAATGATATTCGGTTGATTTTAGGATGTGTTGGAAAGAGATCAAAATCCAGAGTCGAGCCAACATCTCAAACCAAAGTCATATTGACATCAAACACTGACATTTATTCATTAGGTATGGCAACCAAAATACAACATGTTATAGACGTCATAGTGGTAACGTCCACTCAACGTCAAGCTGTAACATCATTAGACGTTGATATTTGGGTGATTTTGCATCGAAAGAGTTGATGGACGTGCATCTAAACAGTCTCTGGGTCACTGCGTGTTAAGATTTTGTACATCTTCATGGACACTTTTAATGCCTCCAAACAGTTTGCTGCAATTCTAAAGTGCCCATGTGTTGAGGTAGTTCATTATGAGGCGATTTACCTTCTATATGTGAAATGGAAATCACAAGACTGGTTTGTCTAATCCCCATAGACAGGAAATGATAAAGCAGTGACTGCAGGTTGAAGGAAAGTAGTGGAGTAAAAGTACAGATACTGCACTAAAGGGAAAGCAGAAGTACACACTTTTAAAACTACTTAGTAAATGACAATTCCTGAGAAAAACTACTCTCAGTAATCCGAGCAGGGCCGGAGCAAGCTGAACTGCCGCTCTAGGCAGAGGACAATCATGCCGCCCTCAACCCCAATGTGAAAACTGATGCTAATGAATGACTGGTTTTGAAAATGAAGTGAGGTGTCGCAGACCTTTATTCTGCCACCCTATGCGCGAATATAACTGAGGATGCGCGGGTGCTGAGGGAGGGAGAGAGATGTCGCCGACGCTGCAATCTCTATTCTGCCGCCCTGTGCGCGGATATAACTGAGGACACGCAGGTGCTGATGGAGGTTTCGCTGACGCTGCCCTCTCCATTCTGTCGCCTATGCGTGTATATATCTGAGGACGCGGGGGGGTGAGGGAGGTGTCGCGGACATAAGTGAGGACGCGGGTGGTAAGGAGGGTGTTGCGGACGCCGCCCTCTCTATACTGCCGCCCTAGGCGGCCGCCTAGGTCGCCTCTATGGACGTGCCGGCCCTGAATCCGAGTATTTGTAATGTGTTACTTTACACCACTGTTGATGGTGTAATGAAAGTGTTAAGCTTTAAGGTCTGCAGCGGATGATTCCAAGCATCAGCAGCAGAAAACCGAAAAGAGTAGGGACTAAATGAAGTACAAACTTTGGCTCTGCTTTGGCTTAGTTTTTGAGCACTGAAAAACGGGGCTTTTTGGGAATGCTGAAGAGCCCTTTTTCATTTTAAAGTGTGGATGGGGAGGGAAATGGAGACATCTGAAAACTGAGGCAGAGCTGTAGACATTCGCCTCTCTGATTGGGGCGTTTTATCTCAATATTAAGTAGCCAACACACAATTCAGTCCTGCATCCTCTCCTAAGTTCAGACTTCACAAGTTTGACATGGAAAACAAACTCCAATCCCAAGGACACATCGAGTAAGTTTTCAAAGGGAAAAGTGTTCTGCATAACCTCATTCACATCACCCTGGCTATGTTGTTTCACTTTCTTAGCAATAAAATTAAAACATGTTATAAGGAACTGCCTTTTTTCTTCTTTGGTGTGACACAACGCGTACCTGTGCGTGCCTTTGTATCGCTTGATGCTTCTTACATCCTTGTCGCAGCACCAGTGGCAACAAAACTAGGCACTGAAATGCATATGCTGATTCAGTGATCCTGCTTGTGATCCTGCCTGTTCTCACTCTCAGCTCACATCATTCAAAACAAAAGGTCCACATTGTCCCCTGATAATGTCAAGAGACTGGACTGTCTCAGCAACTGACTGAATGTAACTGAGGACTAAGCAAAATTGTTTCTACTTTATAATTGATGTTCTCGACTCACAGCAATACAACTTTACAATGAGCACAGTTGTTTATATTCTATACTTTAATATTATTATAATTTTCCATAGCTGCAATGCCTGTATTTTGGAATTTTTTTGCAGTCCACTTAGAATCCAACATGGAAATCAATGTTTTCTTTATTGGCATTGATTGTTTTAAAATTCAAATGTCATTAACATGCCTGTGTTTTAATTTCTGTAATAAATATGGCTGTCAAGCCAGGATCTTGATGGTTTATTGTGGGTTTGTTGTTTACATGAAGAAATCTGTGTTACAAGTTAAACTAAAATTCTAACAAACAAGTATATTTTGAATTTAAATAGTTTTTGTCTTGCGTTTACGTTAATTTTACATTTGAATAGCCAAAATTACAAGTTTCAGTCTTTTAAATGTGAATAATCGCGTTTTAATTGCAAAAAAATATGTGATTAATTAGTTTTTTTTTTTAATCGATTGACAGCACTACTATATAATCAGGTTACAGCAGTAAAATGGATTTTAAATGGGTGTTTTGCATTCAGGGTCACGGCCACCATCATGGACATCATCACGGACATCATCATCATCATGGACATAATGAACCATATCAAGGATACGGGCCGGTACTTGTACAGCCTCAAGTGCCTGTATACGGACCCGGATACGTACAGCCTCCAGGATACGGATACGCACCAGCAATCGTGCAGCCACAAGTACCATCATATGGACCCGGATACGTACAATATTTAGGATACGGTCCTGAATACGGGCATCACCACGGACACCATCATGGACATGATCACGGGCATCATCATGGGCATCATCATGGACATCACTGAGTCTGACATCATCACATATACAGGTCATCATAAAATTATTATTATTATTATTATTATCATCTTCATCCAGAGATTAGGTAAACGTGTGCTATATATATATATATATATATATATATATGTGTATATATATATATATACACATTCATTCATTCATTCATTCATTCTGTCTGGTTCTTGAATCTGATATTCTGCAAAAACAGCACTTATACAGCCTCTTCACCTTTGTGTATTACTCCGCCGACATAGAGTGACAGCAGATCAATAAACCCTCTACAGTTTGACAAATATTGCAGCTGTTGGACAACATCGTGTACTTTTGAGCTTTTTTTTGTCAAGAATGTAGTTGTTTAAATTGCTATTTTGAAATAGGCACTATCCTTCTAAATAAACTCCATGTTTATTTGGAAGGATAATGCCTATTTCAAAATAATAATTATAATAACAATTATAATTTCTAAGAGACTGTACGTCTGCGTCCATTAGCCCTATGCTGCATTCACACCAGATGCGGTAGAAGCGAGTATTTTACATGTTAAGTCAATGCAAAGACGCAAATAGACATCCTGCACTGCGATACGCGCGAATTGCGGGGCGCAAAGACGTGAATTGTGTAAATGATGCTGCGCGAACAGGGTACAATTCAGATTACGTTGTGTATCCACAAGATGGGGCCAGGACTGCGTTATAAGCCCTTGATTAGAAGATTAACACTGCGTGTTTTCTAACTACATTTGATCAAATCATTATTAAACTAGTCAGTGATATTCTAAGTCGATCTCTCTCTTTCGTATAGATTGCAACTATGCAGTTTATTTATAAGGACAGTCACTATTTTAATACAGTAACTTTCCTATCCCAGTTCTCAACAGTGTTATTCAGAGACCTCACCCTCGAACACCCCCTCTTTATCGCAAACACAACAGCAGTCTGGTAGTGATTGCGTTGCTTTTTTGGGGGTTAATTATTGTGATATCCTGATTGCAACAGAGAAATACTGTAGACTGTAACACTATAAGAAGATATCTCTGTAGATGGATGACATTTTATGTCACGTTTATCCTTATAATCTTAAAATGTGAGTAAAATCAGCTGTTTCGTCACCACTTTAGACATTACTCTAGAGAATCATTCAAACACTAGCTCTAAAGTGAAGTTTGTGAATTAGTAACCGCTTTTGCTGCAGTTGTGAATGAATGGCCGAAAAAAGTAGTTCCTAATAAAAAGGGGTTTTTAGACTCTCCGTGATTGATTTTTCTTTTTTATATACACTGTGCCGTCAAACTGTTGTATAAACCCAATATCACACTCGTAGCAGTGCCAACGCACGCCTCCCACCAGTGTTGATGCACAGCCATATCGCACTGCTACTCGTGTTTTTGTTATCAGATATTATACAGTATTTTGTAAAATTAAAATTGCCATTGTTCTCTCTGTTCTTTTCTAGGACTGAAGCTGAAGACATGAGTTTGGACCGAGGCTTGTTGTCCTACTTTAAGGGTTTCATTCTGAAAGTAAATTGCACAAATGCTTTGCTCTAGCAATAGTTTTCTATTTTGGATTTCATGGTAACTGTTTAAAATTAGTATACTCTGTGTGATCCTGTCCTTTAAACTACAATGTTATGTTTCTATATATTAGTCAAACTGCTACATGTTTTCAGTTTCTATGCAGGTTTCACAACTCTTATATTGTTGAAAGCCATTAAATTGCATGCAGCACATTTTAAATTATTATTTTATGGTTGTTAGGCAGCATGTCATATTACAAGTTTGTTTTATGAAATGTGAATATGCTTTTTTTTGTATTGTTTTTTTTTTTTTTGGCAACTTAAAATAAACTCAACCTATGAAATGGTGAAAGTCGTCCTGATTTTAATAATAAATATATATATATATATATATATATATATATATAGATAGATAGATAGATAGATAGATAGATAGATAGATAGAGATATATATATATATATATAAAACCCTTTTTAATGCGCTTATTGTAAAATGTTTTCTTTCATAATGTAGTTAACCCCAGATTGGTGCATTTTGTTTGTATTTTACTGGAGAATTTTTTTAAAGGGGAGTTGGCTTATAGCAAGAAGGTCGCTGGTTCGAGCCTCTGCTGGGTCAGTTGGTATTTCTGTGTGAAGTTTGCATGTTCTCCCAGTGTTCGCGAGGTTTCCCCTACAAGTCCTAAGACATGCGGTACAGGTGAATTAGGTAAGCTAAATTGTCCATCGTGTATGTTTGTGAATGGGAGTGTATGGGTGTTTCCCAGTGATGGGTTGCAGCTGGAAGGGCATCCGCTGTGTAAAACATATGCTGGATAAGTTGGCGGTTCATTCCGCTGTGGTGACCCCAGATTAATAAAGGGACTTAGCCAAAAAGAACCCAGATAGCAGGCAGTAATCGGCCCGAGCTCGGCTGCCCCCCGGCGCCTCCGGCTCCGACTCGGCATCGGCGAGTGTTATCCGGGCCGAGTGCGGCCCGCAGCTCGCTCGCGCACATGCGGTTGTAATGCGGCTGTAAAGCACTGGCCCGATTCCGGTCAACCATATCCTGGCCGCTTCTGGCAAGGACTCGGCTGATGGCAACCGATTAAGTTCTTATTTTATCTAGTAATCTGTTAGCTCCACGTTTAATGATAATTTGAGAAAATATTCATGGTACGATAGCAAAAAAAAAAAAAAAAAAAAAGAATATTTAGTGTGGATGGTCGCAATGTTTAGACGCAAACAAAACAATATTATTTATAAATAGATTATACATGTCATCTAGAGAAAAACTATGTAAAATTCGCTTATTTTTGAGATAGCACGCTCCTGTACTGACTGTTTTTTTTTAAAGCAGAAGTTGGTTTCATAAACACATGCGTTACTAAACTCATGATCCAAACTCCAATCCAGACGGTGGCGGTAATGCTCCAAAAAGCTGGTTGTCAACCACCATGGCACGAAGATCACAAGAAGAAAAAGTTTGGTTTTTCAAACATTTCACGTGGATTCCGGTCAGAAAGGTAAGCTTTTTACTGCTTGTGTTCTGTATAATTAGCGAATTTAGAGCTTAAAACATTTCCACTGTGTTTGGTTGTAACAGCGTTTAGTAATTTAAAACAGTTTGATACGAAATGTAACTTGCTTTAAGAAACACGACTGGAGCTAATGTATGCTAACGCTAACAGTTACAAACACGTCTGAAAGTTCCTTTTCCTTTTACACAATGTTAGATTGTAACGTGTGTAGTAACAGAAAACTATTTTAATTATTTTAAAGAAACATGAAACGAATTTGTGTGTATGCTAACTTTGCGTTAAAGAAAGTTTCTGTAGACGAATCCATTAACTAACTTGGCAAAACGTGTTTTTTTCCTGATTTAACATTATAAAGTACCGTGGATGTTGAAAAAAATCATTGTACAGGCGTATACTTATCCAACAGTATTAATTCTGTGATTGTGTAAATAAAAACTAATCGTTTTGGATTAATAAAATATTATTGTTTATCTTGTTTATGCAGTTAGTCACGAAAATGATCGAAACTCGACTGTTTACTATTCTCTTTAAATTATCCAAAAGAAATATATTACTATGCACTTTAATTCTTGTGTTAGCCTATGTGAATCAATTATATCTTTTGTTCAAGCTGTAATGGTCAGTTAATGTAAAACTGAACGTCTTAAAGCAGATTTTGATGTTTTTTTTTTGTTTTTTATGTTATTGACAGTGATAAATTCTGATTTAAATGAATGGGTAACAATATTTGTTGGTTAAGTCTTATTGTTCTTGTTTAACAAAGGTTAGTGAGATCATTTTGCAGCACATCACGACCAAAGAAGTCAATGGCACACTCTTTTGAATGTGAATAGGCATGTTATAGTTGTGTGCTAAAAGTCCATTATAAGCTGTAAACTGCTGATACATTTTCAACATAGATTGAGCTTTTCAGACATTACATTACTAATTGATTCACAAACAGCTGAAATGGTTTATTGTTATTGGCTATCATCAAACATTTTTCACAATGGTAGGTTAATCTTCATGGGTACAGAATAATGCATGTGCTTGACCATCTTACAAATCTATGTCTCAGATTCATAAGGCTGTCACTCTGCATGAATCTCCGAATAAATCTTGTGCAACCTTCTGTGTACTGATTATTTACACTATAGGTATTATATGCATTAATTAACTTTGATAGTATTTCAGGATTTGAACTTTTCTTTACGGGAGGTTAACAACAATGTGATGTTTTATTATAGATGCATATGAGGAAGCTCGACTCAAACATCCACACGCAACTGTGATTTCTGACTGGTAGACAGATGAGGACGATGATCGCCTGTCATACATCTAAAGACAGAACAGGTTTGTTTGCAATTATTTTAAAAGCATACTGTCAACATTGTCATTGATCTATTACAACCTGTGAGTTTTGCCCTGGCACTATACTAAAGTGATGTTTTGTTTTGTAAATGTATCTGATTAAGGGACAGTATAGACACATCTATACCATGATGAAGAAAAATTACTTGGAACAAAGAGGCTGGATAAAAGGCAGGTATGAAGATTTCAGAAATCAATGCAGCACATATATATATATATATAAATATAAATATATATATATATATATATACACACACACGTGTCTGTGTGATGTATGTAAAATTTGGCCCGCGACAACGTTTGTTTTTTTGCATCTGGCCCTCGGCCCAAAAAGTTTGGACACTCCTGCAGTACACCTATGAACATTTACAGTCTTTGTTCTAGTGCAGTTTGAGATCAAGACAGAACTTATTGCATCTCGTGATGTCTTTGTAAGAATTGAAGACATCACTAAATTTGTTAAGGTTTAATGCAGCTAGAAAGTAAAGATCAACTAGAGAATATCAGCAGTGTCTAACCCACTGTTGTATTTACAGAAGTTGTATGAGAATAAGCTACAGGTTGATTTATACTAATCTGTTATTTTTCTTTTTTAGCACGACTGACTGAAGTTTTAAAATCATGCAACGTCATAAAGCAGCAGCTGGGCCTGATTCTCACAAAACCAAAACAGATGTGATGAAATTCCAGATGTAAACACATTTGACTTTCCTTTGGCCAATTTGATTTGGAAAAGCTTGAAAATCAACTAAAGGAGCAGCCTGAACAAATGAAGAAACTGGTAAGTTCAAGCTCTTGCTAATTTCAAAGTGTTTTAAGTTTATTTGTTTTTTTTTTTTTTTTTTTTTTTTTTTTTTTTTTTTGCTTCGTAGGTAGCCTACTTTTTTCCTAATTTTTTTTTTTTTTTTTTTACATTAGTACTTTTGTGTCAATTTGTGTCATGTCTACATCACTATTTTGTTTTATTTTTTAAACAACATTTTAAGTGTATTAGGATGTTCCCTGATACTTGAACAATTTGTTTCTTTCATTTGCATTTATATATATATATATATATATATATATATATATATATATATATATATATATATATATATATATATGTATATATATATATATGTATGTATATATGTGTGTGTGTGTATATATATATATATATATATATATATATATATATATATATATATATGTGTATATATATATATGTGTGTGTGTGTATATATATGTATGGTATGTATGTATGTATGTATGTATGTGTGTGCGCCAAATTCTAAAGAAACATCTTGATACATTTTTAATAAACGTAATACAAATAAGATTATAAATATAAAATTGCACAAGACGTGTATATATATGAAATGTATAATCATCTCACTCATGTCTTGCTGTTTGTGCAATTGGTTTTGTTCAAGTTTATTTAAAAAAAAGTTTGACTTTATACTTCTGCAATTATATTTATATATATATATATATATATATATATTTGTTTGTTTATTATTATTTTAATGTTTTATTAAAAAATGTTTCAAGATGTTTCTTCAGAATTCTGCAGTACTTTTTACAAGTTTGGCTTGGATATTTTACGGATTGTCATTGGTATTTTTAAGATGTTTCTTGCTATATCTTAAATTGGTTTCTATATTTAGGTTTATATAAAATTTAGCTGTTTTTTTACAAATTTTTGAATTCAAGTCTATTTGGAAAACAGGGTTGTTTTAAAAAACATCTGTGTTTGTGTGTAATTTTTTTGAGTTTTTGTTTAAATCTTTCTGTGTGTCTTTATTGTGTTGTTTTATTGTTGTTTTTATATTGATATTCTTGTGCACTACAAAATTATTTATAAAATTTTAGTACTATTTTTTTTCATGCAATCAATAAACGTTTAACATTTATTTATTTTGTCATTTGTCTGATTATTTTCGTTACAGAATATGTATGCAGTTTGCACTTTATTCAAAGGTTAAACACAGTGCTTACACTTTGTGTTTACATTATAGCCTGTGTTTGCTGTCATATAAATTCAAATGGTTGTAATACCATATATCAAGTACCAATGTCATACCAAAAGGTTTTATAAGGTGTATAAATACGGAGTCGCGCCAGCTCCGGGCCGCAGCGCACATTACCCTCGCGCCGATTCCGGCGCGGATGCGCAGCGTCGGCTCGCTTACGGCCGCCGCATCTGGCCCGCTTGATTCGGGCCGGAATCGGGCAGTGAGTCCACAGGCATCCGGCCCGAGTCCGGCAGCCGAAGTTGGGCCGAGGGGTTAGTCTCCATCAGGCGACAATCTAGCCGGAACTGGCCCGAGTGTATTTTGCTATCTGGGAAAGTGAATGACTGAAACTCTATCCTCCACTTTTGATTATAGCAGGTCTTGTTCAACCTTGACCTACTTGTTTCCCCAGACAGGTGACTACTGCATTTCTGAGTTCCCTTTTAGCTTCATTTAGAGAAAGCGGCTTACTAAACACTTCCTC